GCTCTGAGCCCGACCAGGGGCTGCACCTAGGGATTGGGCCTGCCCTCTGCCACCTGGGAGCAAGCCTAAGCCAGCAGGTCATTATCTCCCGAGGGATCCCAGACTGCGAGAGGGCACAGGCCAGGCTGAGGGACCCCCGCCTCCCTCCAGTGCACAAATTTCTGTGCACCAGGCCTCTAGTAATAATAATAAAAAAGTATTCTGTATTTTTAATTTAAAGAGAAGTTACATTGTATTTACATAGTTTTATCCCTATTTTGTTTAAAAAAAGATAAATACAAATGGGAAAAAAGTTTTATATGTGTAAGATTATATATATATGTATATGTGTGTGTATGTGTGTGAGTGTCTACAGTCATTGAACAAGTATATATATGTTTGTCTCTACAGTCACTGAACAAATGTGATGTGTGCCTGACATTATTTCATATGAGGAATTACAGTTCTTTATTCTTCTTTGCACTTCCCCTATTTTCAAAATTCTCCAAAATGAACATTTATTTGTTCAACAAAAAGACAGACGTACTTGATTATACAACTAAGCCTTAAAATACTGATAACCTGAACATTTTCTTTAAAATGCATTTTTGAACAACTGACAAGCATTATTTTGATCAGGTGTTTTAGAAAATTTACAAAAATTATGACACAGTTTTGAAAAGGAAAGTTACATACTCTTCAAAAACTGTGCTTTCCTTTTAAGTATTGTTAATACTATTTTCATACTTGTTAATACTTGTTAATACTATTGGTTGTGCAGGAGGCAATCAATACATGTCTCTCTCTCTCTCTCTCCTCTCTCTCTGTTTGTTCCTCCTTCCCTCCCTCTCTTACTCTAAGATCAATAGAAAAAAAAAATTATCAACAAAAAAAAGTCCTGTGAGTAGCTGTGCTTTTCTTTGGAAAGCCTTTCCAAGCCCAGGTCCCCTTGCCTCTTCCTAGTGGATCACTGTACTCCCGCAAGCAAAGTGCATTTCACTCTATTCTGAAATTGTGTGTTATTTATCATCTGTCATCAAGGTAAAACTGAAAACTTCATAGGAACAGGAAATTTATCTTATTTACTATTATACCCACAGTCCTAGGAATTATAAGCATCCAAGAAACACTGAATGATGAAATCTACTAAATACAAAGTGGATTGAAATATGGTGTGTACTTCTTTATTTACCTTCCCACTCCTTTCAGAAACACCTGATTTGTGTGATTATACATCTGTATAGAGGGACTATTACTTTACATACACCTGGGAGGAAAAGTGGTTGGATGAATCATTTCATTATTTACATATAGAAAAAAAGAGTATTACTTCCTCAGACTAAAAACTTGTAATTTTTCATTCTCAATTCTGTAAGCACAATAATATCTCACCTAGTTGCAATATCTTTATAGTGTCTCTGCAGGCTTTCGTCACCAGCTTGAAATGGCGGTAAAGGGGGTAGCACAAAACTCTTCTTCCAAAAGACACCAGGACTTCATGAACATTAGTCCAAGTCTATGAAGTATCAATTAAATAAGTAAGCATTTCCATATTATACAAACAAAAGTATATCATGAAATACTGTCCATTAAAAATTCAAAGTTTGGCCCTAGCCGTTTTGGCTGAGTGGATAGAGCGTTGGCCTGTGGACTGAAAGGTCCCAGGTTCGATTCCGATCAAGGGCATATGCCTTGGCTGCGGGCACATCCCTGGTAGGAAGTGTGCAGGAGGCAGCTGATCAATGTCTCTCTCCCATCAATGTTTCTCTCTATCCTTCTCCCTTCCTCTCTATAAAAAATCAAAATACATATTAAAAAAAATTTAAAAGTTTGGCCCTAGCTGTTTTGGCTCAGTGGATAGAGCAGGAGTCCTCAAACTATGGTCCGCAAGCCACATGCGGCCCACCGAAAAAATTTATCCGGCCCGCCGGGTGTTTTTGCTGCCGCTGCCTGTTGCTTAGCAGTCGACTAGTTTTTTTTTAAACTATAGTCCGGCCCTCCAACGGTCTGAGGGACAGTGAACTGGCCCCCTGTTTAAAAAGTTTGAGGACTCCTGGAGAGCGTTGGCCTGTGGACCAAAGGGTCCCGGATTCGATTCCGGTCAAGGGCATTGAATCTTGGACCCTTATTATTTACTATTATACCCACAGTCCTAGCATAGTACCTAGAAAAACAAGAATACAAAGTGATTTAAATTTGGCACTTAGCGTGTTTTAGAATATGTACCTCGGTAATAGGCTCCTCCCCGGCCTGGGCTCTGGTCGGGGCTTGTGCAGGAGGCAACCAATCTATGTGTTTCTCTCACATTGATATTTCTCTCTGTCTTTACCTCTCTCTTCCACTCTCCCTTTAAAAAAAAGAAAAAATATCCTCAGGTGAGGATTAAAAAAAAGTTTTTTTAAAGTTTGGATTATAATGAAGCCAAGTAGAGAGAAATATAAAACCATAAAATGAGTTTTTGTACACCTTACAATAAATTATTTAATCTTATTAGTCTTTGTAATTTCCATATTTTATCACACCCACTCTTTAAAAACCACACATATGTAGTAAGAAAGCTTTTTTAAAAAAATATATTTTATTGATTTTTTACAGAGAGGAAGGGAGAGGGATAGAGAGCTAGAAACATCAATGAGAGAGAAACATCGATCAGCTGCCTCCTGCACGCCCCGCACTGGGGATGTGCCTGCAACCAAGGTACATGCCCTTGACCGGAATCGAACCTGGGACCCTTCAGTCCACAGACTGATGCTCTATTCACTGAGCAAAACCAGTTAGGGCAGTAGGAAAGCTTTTAAAAGTCTCTTAAGAATTACAAATGTGAATCTAAAACATATGGGTCTAACCCAGCCATGGGCAAACTACAGCCCGTGGGCCAGATCCGGCCCGTTTGAAATGAATAAAACTAAAAAAAAAAAAAAAAAAAAAAAAAAGACCATACCCTTTTATGTAATGATGTTTACTTTGAATTTATATTAGTTCACACAAACACTCCATCCATGCTTTTGTTCCGGCCCTCCGGTCCAGTTTAAGAACCCATTGTGGCCCTCGAGTCAAAAAGTTTGCCCACCCCTGGAGTCTAATCAAACACACATGCACACAAAAGACCTTTCTCAATAATCTATATTTTATGCTTTCGTCTTTTAGGACCATTCCACAGAGTATAGGTGAAAGGTGTAGAACTTTTTAGTGGTGTGTGTTCAGTCTCTCTCTCTTTTACTTTGGACATGAGTAATACCTGGTATTTACTTCAGTAATTTATTTTTAATCATCAAAGAGAAAATTAATAATTCCTGGAAAAAAGAGTGTTTTATTATAAATAGTATTAAACTGATAACCATTCAAAACTGACTGAAATCACTAGACAAAGGTAATTTTCTACCAAACTGTTTTCAATTGAGGTTCTTCTTTGTTTTTTTGTTTTATTTTGATTGATTTCAGAGAGGAAAGAAGAGGGAGAGATAGAAACATCAATGATGAGAGAAAATCACTGATCGGCCTCCTACATGCCCCCACCAGGGATTGAGGCCACAACTTGGACACGTGCCCTGAGTGGGAATCGAAACACGACCTCCTTGTTCATAGGATGATGCTCAGCCACTGAACTACACTGGCCGGGCTTAAACTGAGTTTTGATAAAAAATGTTACCCATATATAAAACTTAAAATATAAAATTAATACTAAGGGAGCAGCATAATTTCCATGTATATTAACTTTAATGAATGGGAGACCTAATTAAGAATATTGAGCATCTGACAAAGAATAGTTTATATCTAAAAAGAGCTATGGCCCTGACCAGTTTGGCTTAGTGGATAGAGCGTCGGCCTGTGGACTGAAGGGTCCCAGGTTCGATTCCGGTCAAGGGCATGTATCTTGGTTGTGGGCACATCTCCAATAGGGGATGTGCAGGAGGCAGCTGATCGATGTTGCTCTCTCATCGATGTTTCTAACTCTCTATCCCTCTCCCTTCCTCTCTGTAAAAAATCAATAAAATATATTAAAAAAAAAGAGCTATAAACTTTTAAAAAATTCTAGCCAAAAAATGAAATACTTATAAAAGTCTGACAGTTATTACCATGTCTGGCAATTCTAAGTTTTCTCAAAATCTAAAAATTTCAAAATAAAATCATAAATAGGTGATGTTATTCATGTAGCTTTTAATAACTGAACTATAAAATTGATTACCAACTCCATAATGAATGCAATTACTACAAAAACCAGTTTCTCCATTATATGCTGATGGTGGCAATACGTAGAACCTAAATGAAGTCTAGCAAACAGCACTTCTCTATCTTTAATCCTATATAATAAAAGCCTAATATGCTAAGTGTCTGGTTGACCAGGCGGCTGTTCAACCAACCAAAGTGTAATATACTAATGATACTAAGGCTGCTCAACCACTCACTATGATGTGCACTGACCACCAGGAGGCAGACAGTCAACTGGTCACTATGAAGTGCACTGACCACCAAGGAAAAGACGCTCCAATGCGTAGGTTAGCTTGCTGCTGGGGTCTGGCCACTCGGGACTGAGCAAGGTGGGCCAGACATGCTCTGGAGCCCTCCTGCAGTCCCTCCCCAGCTGGCCAACCTCCTGCGTCCCTCTCCAGTCCCGATTGTGCACTGGTGGGGTCCCTCGGCCTGGCCTGCACCCTCTCACAACCTGGGACCCCTTGGGGGGTGTCAGAGAGCCAGTTTCAGCCCGATCCCGCAGGCCAGGCCGAGGGACCCGACTGGTACACGAATTCGTGCACCGGGCCTCTAGTATACACATAAAACCCTGAAGATCTAGCTACAGATTCTGACTCAGTGTATCTGGACTGATGTTATGTGCTGCTAACAAGCTCCCGGCCACAGAGGCTGGCCAAGCTATTGGTCCACGGACCAGATAAAGTTAAGTGTTTCAATTCCTGTTTACAACATACCTTTTACTTCAATCAAATGATGCCATGAGACAAATTTGATTTTACAACTTAAAGTGTACTATACTAGGTGTATCAGTTAATAATGCGGATTTTGTAATCAAAGAAAACACGATCATTTCAAGAGAAACATCGAAAGTGCTTTATTCAAAGTAATGTCCATCACTAGCTATACATTTCCCCCATCTTTCAGGTAATTTGTGGATACCGTCCCAATAGAACTTTTCTTGTTTTGAGGCAAACCATTCAGAGACCTAATTTTCCACTTCTTTGTATGTTTTGAAGTGCTGCTCAGAAAGTGCGTGTGACATCAATCAGAACAAGTGGTAATCTGAAAGAGCAA